TATGGATTCACCGAAGTCCATCGGTCGGAAATTCATACTAAAACTTGGACTACAGATTTTGAACAATCAATCTGTACATTAAATTCGCAAGTGGGGGGATGTCAATTTAATGTTGCCGATTGTATGCAAAGGAAAAATTAGAATAACACCAAAGACGATCAATCTGAGCTCCAAAGCTAGAAAAGAAAATTAAACAAAAAGAAGGAAGAAAGAATTGAAAAAAAAAAATAAGAGAAGAAAGGCTCGGGCAGCAAATCTTAACTATGTTTAGTTCAGAAACAACTGGTTGCCATACCGATTATCGTTATCTGTAAAGCTATCAAATAAGGTCACGAAGCGTGCGGAATCGAAAACTCCATGCCTGCATAGGCAGCTGCAAAATTGAACTGCCTCTTGATCATCTGCAAAACTAAAGAGCAGAAGGTTGCCTGTGGCCTGGATAAAATCCTGAGCTATCGAAATTCTCAGAACCTTAAAACAGTGATACTCGCTACAGCTCTCACAAGAAAGCAGTAGTACTTTATCTAGGTTGCAGCTGGGAAAAAAACAAACAAACAAGATAGCCAATTGAAATTTCTTTCTGCGCTTTTGAACAAAAAGAAAATTGGGTTAAAAAAAAAAGAAAAAAGAAAACATTCTGGAGGTAGAGGATGCTAGAATAAAATAGAGCAGATATCCGGAGCGTGCTTTTAGGCCAAAGCAATATTTTTTGACCAAGCGCCAAGTGCTAAGTCCTCAGATTGCTGTTTTATACAGAAGCTCTCTCCTTGTTCTTGGAGCACTTTGTGTCCATCTTACCTCTCTCGATTAAACTCTTTTCCGTCCTACATCTCTCCCTGTTCTTGGCGCACTTTGCTGTTTCATAGTTGCATAAAATCTCACCGCACAGCTGGAGGTCGTCCGCCAGCTAATTGGCTGCGAGGCTTAATGGCATGGCAGGGCCCTGATTACTTCTGGTTTGTCTTGCCTGGAGTGGGTGAGTTCGATTAACAGAGAACTCAGAACCGATTAAGGACAATACTCGACCAAGAATGCTATCTCATGCAAAAGGTGGGAATTCTAAACCTACAACCCAACAACAAGAACAACAACAAAGCTTTTATGCAAAACATTCAGGTTGGCTAGAAGAACCCTTTGTTCCTGTCCAACCTTTTTATGAATCTCCTTCATTAAAATTTTCAAACGCCAAACCTGCAAGGACAGAAATCTTGAAGGCAGCACAGTCTCCCCCAATTTTAGATATCAATTCAAAGGAATCCAAAGACTGTACATTCAATAGTAACTGCATAAAGGTCCACAGGAGATGACACCACAGCCATCTTGCAGAGATACACAATCTTAGTGTGTTCGCATGCTAAAACAAGAAAACAACTGTACACCACGGAACAAAAATTGCATCTTTTACCTTCACATCGGCTCAGGAATGGATATAGTTGCACGAGGCTCCTTTCTTGCAGTACCCATGTCTGTGGAAGTTGCAAATTCCTCTCTGCTCTCCCTCGCCACCGCCATTCTGATTTGAAGCACCACCATTCATACTTCCTTGTCCAGTTCCCTGCACAGGTGTTCCCCAAGCAGCATTCTGATTTGTATTTCCTTCTGTTGGTGCAACCCAAGATGGACTTGGGTTTGCACCCCCAATGACAGGTGCAAACCAACCAGGATTAACTGCTGCTGGATTTACCTGCATTGGCATTCCCCATCCAGCATTAGGGTTTGCCATTGCCTGTGCTCCCCAAGCCAAATTAGCATTTACATTTCCCTGCGTTGGAATTGCCCAACCTAGGTTTGGGTTCATAGTTGGCTGAGCTGGCGGGCCCCACCTGCATTGGCATTCCCCATCCAGCATTAGGGTTTGCCATTGCCTGTGCTCCCCAAGCCAAATTAGCATTTACATTTCCCTGCGTTGGAATTGCCCAACCTAGGTTTGGGTTCATAGTTGGCTGAGCTGGCGGGCCCCAATATTCACGAGTCCAGGTGTAACCATTCCCCAGCCCATATTTGCAGCACCCGGGATTGCTGCGTGAACCAAGTGTCCTGTTTCCTGTCCTGTTCCTGTACCAGGGTTTGAATTCTGCTGAGCCATTCCCCAACCAATGTTTACAGGTTGAGCAGCATTAGTACTTAGACTGTTAGACCCTTGTTGGTGAGCTGAAGAAGGTGCACTGGAACTTGAAGCTTCTAATTTCTCGACAGCAACAGAAGCATCAGATAAATTTGAAGATCCTAAAGCATTTGGAGCAACAGAAGCAGGACCTACTACAGTGTTGTTGACAGGTTTGTTTTCAGGATTTGATCTATCATGTGCTCCAGGGCACTTCATATTGGCATCGAGTTCATTCATAGGTATTGTATGATCATCTGTATCATTCTGAGGATTGGCTGGTTGAATACTTTCAGAATTTAGAACATCAACAGATGCCTGCTCACTGTGTGGTTTTGTATTGGAACTGCTACTTTCCAACCCCTGCCTCCTGTTTGATCTGTCCATAGACTCAGTGGCATTGGAACCACAATAAACTGCATGACTCGCAGAAGTAGCTACTGCTGATTCAGTGAGCTTGTTCTGCTGCTGAAAGTCGCTCAAGACGCCTATGTTCTCCGGGGTCTTGGCAAGATTGACACAAGGTATAGCACTTGAAGCCCATCCTCCAACAGAGTTCAGTGTCGACGAAGTTACATTAGCAGGAGATTGCTGCAAGTCACTTCCCAGGCCAGAGCATGCAGGCTGCACAGAAGCTGAAATTCTGTTCAAAGCACCCTGAAGACTCGCCCAGTCAATGTTGCTTGGCTGTGGAGCATTAGCAGGGGGATTAAACGACCCATTTCCCAATTGTTTTGAGGAGTCATTTGCAGGCTGCCCTTTCCATTGTTCACCACGATACTGCTGGCGTGATGAGCTTTGATAAGGATGCTGCCTTTCATAAGCTCGATCATTTGGCTGGAACCTCCTATGCCTGTTTGAATTCCAATTATTTTGCCAACTCCGATCCCTACTCCATCTACCAGTATTTTCTCCTCGACCATCTCTTCCATGGAAAGATGTCTGCTGAGACAAATTTCTGGAAGATGGATTTATTGGTCTGGGAGCGTTACATGCTTGGGATTGGTCAGGCCAGGCATTATAAATCTTTGATGACTCACATCCTGTTGAAGATGCTGCAGGCCTCCCATCCATGTGATTACTAGCCATTCCTGTATTGGTCACGGATAAGGAAGATGGATGAGCGGTCCACTTATCAGAGTTTACCAAGTTGTAATTATCAGTAGCAGGCGAACTTGCAACAGCCTGAAGAATAGTATTTTCTCTCACAGATCCATCCATGTTGTTTGCCCTAGATCCTAACATAGCTGTTGCATTTGTAGGCTGG